AATATACTGAAGCAGGAAAAAATCAACTCGCTTGGACTGAAATTGCCAACACAACCGATGAAAAACTTCAGATACTTCTGACAAGTCCCAGTCATTAGCATGCAGTTGGACCTTGATCAGTTTCATATCTACACCACGGATCTAACTTTTAAGGAATCTCCGTCAGCGCATGGCAAGATTCCTGAAATCAGAACTAATCACCTAAATTCAGAAGAAGAAAAGGCAATACAAAATTTATGTACGAAGTATGCAGACATTTTTCATTATTCAGACATGTCCCTGGCGTTTACAAACCCGATCAAACACCATACTAAGATGAGATTCCAACTAAGTCATATACAGGGTGTCACGAAAGGTTTGTTACAAACTTCTAGGGATGGTAGATCTCGTAAAAATAAAACTTTTTTCTTGATAAACATGTGTCCGGAAATGCTTCGTTTTCCAGATATACAGGGTGGTCTAAATTTGAGCCTCATCATTGGGATCTTGGTAATCGTAAGAGATACAGACGGTCGGTTAAATTATGGCAAAGTTGCGCAATTTCATGACCAATAGAATACCGTTTTGAAACTAGAAAGATTCCGAATACTTCCGGAGATATTCGGAAAAAACCAAAATTTTGTTAAATCGTTTTTATTTTTTCCCGGGATTATTTGAAAAGCAATTTTAAAATAAATGTCACTTCATCCGTGTCACTTTTTCTCCTTTAGAAGTTGGTGCTACTAAATTTAAAATTCGACGTTTCGTCTTCAGGCGGCCATCCTCAACTTCCTTTTTTTAAATACGGACCTGGATTTTTTATTTGCGATTGTGTCATTTTTGCGCATCCTAAAACCGATACTGTTTATAATTTTTCAATAACACAGCAAAAAAAGCAGGTCCGTATTAGAAAAATAAATAAAATTAATGATGATTTCAGAGGAACGAAACATTGGATTTTAAATTTAATACCACCAACTTGTAGAGAAGAAAAAGTGACAATGGCAAAGTGAAATTAGTTTTCCACAATCTCTTTAAATAAAATCAGGAAAAAATGAAAACTATAAGAAAAAAAAATGAATTTCTCGTTTTTCTTAAATTTTTTCCTGATTTAATTTAAAAAGATTTTGGTAAAAACTAATTTCACATTCCCATTGTCAATTTCTCTTCTTTACAAGATGGCAGTATTAAATTTGAAATCCGACGTTTTTCAAATACGGACCTGCTTTTTTACCGTGTTATTGAAAAATTATAAACAGTATCGGTTTTAGGATGCCCAAAGATGACAAAATCGCAAATAAAAAAATCAAGGTTCGTATTTGAAAAACGTAAGTTAAGGATGGCTGCCTGAAGACGAAATGTCGAATTTTAAATTTAGTACCACCATCTTCTAAAGGGGAAGAAGTGACAATGATCAAGTGACATTTATTTTAAAATTGCTTTTCAAATAAGCCCGAAAAAAAAAACGATTTTTCAAAATTTTGGTTTTTTCCGAATGTCTCCGGAAGTATTCGGAATCTTTCTAGTTTCAAAACGGTATTCTATTGGTCATAAAATTGCGCAACTCTGCCATAATTTAACCGACCCCGTATCTCTTACGGTTACCGAGATCCCAATGATGAAGCTCAAATTTGGGCCACCCTGTATATCTGGAAAACGAAGCATTTCCGGACACATGCTTATTAAGAAAAAAGTTTTATTTTCACGACATCTACCATCCCTAGAAGTTTGTAACAAACCTTTCGTGACACCCTGTATATATCCACATATCCATAAAGAGGAAGTGAAAACCCAGATATCTTTCATATTGGATTAAGGAATTATCAGACCAAGCCAGTCACCTTGGTCTTCCCCGATATGGATAGTTCTAAAAAACACCAGACGTCTCCGGAAAAATAAAATGGCGGATAGAAGTGAACTATGGGAAGTCAACCAGAAAACTATCGGCGATAAATAACCAATTCCAAACAGATATCTTGGACAAACTTGGTAGATGCCAGTACTTCACGACCTTGTATCTGGCTGCTTTCAATGTCGTAAATGGTCATTACGAGTACGTCCGGATGCCGTTTGGACTAAAAAACGCTCCAGCTACGTTCCTGAGGGTAATGGATAACGTTTTGAAAGACTTGCTAAAAATAAAGCCATAATTGACTATCCAATACCGCGAACCACGAAGGAAATCGGAGAACTTCTAGGCCTCCTTGGATATTAGGTACAGTAAATTTATTAAGGACTTCGCAAAAATCACTAAACCTCTAACTTCCTGCCTCAAAAAGGACGCTTAAATAGAACTGATACCAGAATTTTTGAGCTGCATTAGAACAAAAATTTACTGACAAATCAACCTCTTCTGTAATATCCAGACTTCAGCAAGTCTTTCAATCTAACTACTGATGCTAGCAACTATGCAATTGGAGCTGTACTATCCCAAATAGGCAGCGATAAGCTTCCAGGACACTCAACAAAACCGACTTAAAATATTACATCATTGAAAAGGGAATGTTAGCCATAATCTGGGCCACCAAGTACTCCAGACCCTACTTGTTTGGGAGAAAGTTCAAGATACATTCAGATTACCGTCTTTTCCAATGGCTTTTTTCCATGGAAAACAACAGTTCCAAAATAGTAAGATAGCGTTTAAAGCTGGAAGAGTTTGATTATGATATAATCTATAAGAAAGGAAAATCAAACACCAATGCAGATGCTCTGTCCAGAGTCGAAATCCATACCAAAGAAATAGCCCAACCACCACAAGACGAAGATAACGCATCTTTGTACAACAATACAGAATCAATCCTCGACATAGACGAAGTTCTAGAGAAACCTGCTTCGCAAGCGAAGATACAAAAGGTCATCAGTGAAATCTTTGATAATTCAGAACCTACACAAGCCGACCCGGACGAAGATAACGAAACTAGACACACTGCTAAGAAAGAACCTATACTCGGCATTCCAATTAGCGAAAGAGCCCCTAACTATTGCAATAACCATATTGTGCTCAGCTCAAGTCTGTTAATTTTAATCCAGCAAAGCCGATAATAGAAGTAGCCTTTCCTAACAAATCCAGGCTACATGTCCAAGGATAATAGAATAACTTAAAAGCTTCTTGAAGAAAAAAAATAGATCCCAAAAAAAAGTGTGCAATATTTTTCAAGGACGAAGATATTTATGTTCCTTTATGCAACATCTTTATGGAAATTATTGATCTAGATACCTTTCAAGCGGGAGGGCAAAAGTTTTTAACATTTATAGATTCCTTCTCCAAATATGGACAAGCCTACCCCATAGAGGGATCAAATTCAGTGAATGTTCTTTCTTAATGCCCTCCTAATCCTCATAACTTATCACGGAATACCACACATAATAGTCACCGATAGTGGAACAGAATTTAAGAATGGACTTATACAGGAATTTGTAGATATCATAGGATATTCATCCATTATACTACCCCTGATAACCCACAATCCAACGGGATTATAGAAAGATTCCACTCCACCATTATCGAACACCCGAGGATACTTCGAGAAAATAAATAATCCTTGAGCGTTAAAGAACAAATGCCATATGCATTTCTCGGATACATTAATTCTATCCATTCGATGAAAAACATGCCACCAATGGATATATTAACTGGTCACATGCCCAGGATCCGTTTGACGTTGAAGTCAGGAAAACACTTATAAATAATTATACTCTTATACCCAGCAATACAGGGAAAAAACGAAGATTACCTATCTACCGAAAATTGAATCAAAAGCTACATGAATCTAAAGAAAATAAAATAGGAAAAAGAAACATAACCAGGCAAACCCCCATCATCTACAAACCTAGCACGAAAATCTACACCAGGAAAACTGTAAACCGGAACAAACTACTTTCAAGATTTTCTCTCAAGACAGTTAACACTGACAATATTGTGACCATTGACACCACAGATTGACACTCAAGAAACGACAATACATAAAAAGAATATTAAAAATCTTTAGGCTGTATCTTTGTTAAATTTTAAGCAAATTGGAATAAATTTATATGAATACAAAGAGCATTAAATTCTCTATAAATAAAAGTATGGTATGGGCTTAAATATAATCAAATACCCTGTACTTATTTTAGAATCATGCCCCGCATGATTTTTAGAACTGAGACTGAGATATACAAAATTTTACTCGAATCGGTGCACCTTATAGCGAGAAATAAAAAAAAATACTAAGCACCAAAGCACCTTAGTTTATCATTTTATAAATAATAAATAACATAAAGCTCGGGTAAGATACCAGAATGAAATGAGGATCGGATTATATTGTGAATAACTAAAAAAATTACTAAGAATTGGGAATTGTCTTGTTCTGAACAGATTTTGGATATTTGAAATACCAAAATTACTTCAAATATTGTTTCAAATAATTTATAGTATGTTACAAACTTCAAGTACTAAAATATACGTATATACAAGTAATGCCACTTCACTTGAAGCTCAATGGTTTTCCTTGAAGTAAATTACTTGATGAAGTTCAAGTGAATTTCAAGTTTACTTGACAATCAAAGTATAATTTTAATGAACTTGTCTTGTACTTCAAGTACTTTCGTAATATACTTGTGCCGACTCTGATTGAAACTTATTATCATTTGAATAAGGGTGAATTTACTAGTTAGATTTCCAACTTGTTCCATAACAACAAAACTAGTGCTGAATAGTTTTAAAATTACATTTTTGCTTGATACAAAGAAACTGCGGGAAATACTTAAATGACGTGAAATATAGTCCAGAAATGGTAACGACTTTCCAAAACTAGAAAAGTTGAGTCGTAAAATAAAAATGCAGGCAACTTTGTTAGGGAATGTTTAAATTGTTGCAACAGAGGCGAACATTTGAAGATAAAGGGCCAATTTACAATAACTTTTCTCAGTTTAGTTAGTTATTGTATCATATATATGCATTGTTGGTCGATGAATTAACAAATTTAACTTAATTTACTTTTGAACTAATACACTTTAAGTATAGATTAATCCATTGTTAGGAAACCGCATTTTGAGACCTGACTTCTACGTCAAAAGTTAAGCCATAAAACAATAAAGATAGCCAAATATAAATTTTTCTATCCAACTCAGAAGAAAAATGTAGCAAAAATATGTAAATCCAAGACGCAAGCAGTTCGTTCGGTTTCTACTAAAAAATATAATACTTGAAAATCGAGAAAAATGCTGAAGAAACTGGAAAAGGAACCAAAAGACAATCAAGTTACGGGCAAAATGAAAGAAATGTGCTACTTTTTCAACACATTTTCCGACCAATCTCTGGAATGGTTGTACCAAAGTTTCAGCGTGAAACAAAAAAGGGCCGGACTGGAATGTTTCGTTATTACCGCCGCCCTGTTTGATATTTATATGCTTGTGGTAAGTAACTTTTTTTTTAGGATATTTATGCCGCAATTATGCCTATTATGCACCCACCTCCCTTCCAATTTTCCATCAGACCTATGTAAGCGCTCTCTTAATTAGACGTGTTAATTAATGACAATAACGAGGTAGTTTACGTCAAATCCCCATCGCTGTACAATAATGGAAGCCGCTCGTAGCTATTGGTTATTAGCCCTAAAACCCCTCTTTCTACTTGATGAAAGCCTGGTGTAATACGTGCAGCTTTCACTAATAAATTGAAGGCTTTTTGAGTTAGATGAAAAGAATAAAACTTTTACGCTACTTAAGTATAAAACAGACTTAGTAGTTACATGATAATATTTGTGATTATTTGGGTTTGAGGGTTGATTGTTTAGACTCTTTCGATCAGTTTAATAGCAAATCAAAGACAAAATTAATGTTCTCAAAGTGTGTCCTCCAGCTAAAACTTTCACGATTAGTAGAACGTAAATGCACGTCCAATCGATAATGATTTTCTAATTGAAATAAACTGCGGACATCCAACAATGATCGATTGTAATTTGCGGCCTGAGTGCTAACATTCAAACATGCCCAGATTATGCTCAGTTCGATGTGAGATAATGGATTAACACTCGTCGTTGTCGTGACAAAACTATGCAAATTTCAATGACAATGTGGGAATTGGGATAATTCTAATGTTTAAAATAAACCAATGCAATGCAATAATAATTAATAACAAAGGAAATTCTAGTTATAATATTTAGTTTCAATATTAATTAGGTAATCTCTCGTTGCTGTGTGAAATTTCGTTAATTATCAAATCTCGCTGGCTTGCTGGTCGGATGCGATTCGCGGTCAGAATAATACAATTATTTAATTAGGTGCGCGAATTCGGAAATTGATTTTTGCTAATGAGTTCATAGGAAATTTGGATCAGATTTGTCAATTGAAAAATATCTTACCAAAATAACTTTATTAGGGCCAGCTTTCTTCCAGACTGCTGTTTAAATATAGAAACATATGATGATTCTGCAGTTTGTCAACCCGATGAATTTGTGATTCGGTTGGTATTTTCAATCTTGCTAGTTAATTAATAACAACAATGTAATGTTCGTATAAACATGGTTGCTTCAATGCAGGTAAATAATTCCATACTGGTCCATTTTATTATTTTTTAAATAAATCCTATATAAATATTGTTCATGGCTAATTTTGGCTGCTTTTCAAGATTAGACATTCTGGCCGCCCGCAATGTTGTTCAGCTGGCATCGGTCTGAGTTTCAGTGGTTGCTGGTGAAATTTTGAAGAGGTTCTAAAGGTACCTATTCCGTTGGAGTGGTCTTCTTTAAATTTTGGTTTCGGCTTGTATTTCCGATACCAGAGATATCCCAAGAGTGCTCAGAATGTGATAAGTATACTCGATGTACCAGTACTGAATACTCCTAGGTAGTGTATGGAAGCCCAATGGGTTTCTTGTAGTGGCTTTTGAATATCTGACTCTTCCTCTTTGATTTTATCTAGAGATGCTGAGGCTTCTAGAACTGGTTCTTCTAGAATGTCGTGCCCTATATTGAAAACGAAAGCATCTGTTGTGCTTGGGTCGATCGGATGTGTCATGGATGCCAAAACAATGACTGATTTTGCTCTTTTTGGAGTCAAAATGTTTTTTTATTGTTCTTGATGATGCAGTTTTGAGATATGACCAAAATCCCTGTTTTCTGGAGTGTCATATCTTCATGAATGCCACCTTTAGTTGATCAGCGCTAATAAACATCCAATCATTGGGTGTATTCAAAAGTTTCCATATGATACTAGATATCAAGGTCTTCCTTCGCAGTGTCCACGACGTATTTTGCGATCGCTGATAGACTTCATCCATGATGCAGTTGGAAGTAGCTTCTATGTTTTGAGTCGTAGTCGGTGAGCAGATGAATGCATTTTGACTGATGCTGATGCAATTTCTTAGCTCTGCTTCACTGAGTTGGAAGTATAATTGTGAATTTTAGTCTACTGCAATGAATTCGTTTGGCACATCGAGTATCAAGTAGGCTTCTTTTGTTAGGATTGGTGTTGCCTTGATGAGTAAAAATTCGTTAGTTTCTGTAATGATGAAATATCCAAAGATGTGGATGAAGTCCTTGCTGTGCTGAACTTTGGTCTGCAGAATTGGGTACGAGATTATCTTGATGTTTGTTGGAAGTTTCTTGTTGGCTGACGCTATGGTTTCTTCAACGTGAGTTGGAGATATGAGTTCAAATAGATGTCCACGGTGATAATGGATGTCCAAAAGTTTTCGATGATAATTAGTGACTTCATCTATGAAATTTACCACGAATTGGTACGCACTCAATAAATTAATGTTAAGTTTGTATTCGTCAACTCGGCTGTACCAGTTCTGCATGTCATTTATTGCTTTAATGTTTTCATTGAGTTTCTTCCTGATTCTTTCTAACTGATCGCTGATTCGTATCTCTGTCTGGTCAAATGTAGCCAGACCATGTAGCATAAACTTTGCTTGGTGATTGGAGGTCTTGATGAGTTCCTTTTGATTTTTGTCTAGTTCTTCAATGTCTGCACATACTTCGTCGTTGACTCCTAATACTGATGTGAGTAACTTTCCCATAAGTCCTCGCTTATTACGATTGGTGATCACGTTTTACATCCCTCTGTTCATCCACTCAACGTGTTGCTATTCGTCTTGAAGGTGGTGAATTAGCGATGTACATTCCATGTTAGATGTTAATCCTCTGGCCCTCTCACAAAGAGACGAAACTTGCTGAATTGAAAAATGTATGTTGATGATTTCATTCAATATCCTAGACTTGTTGAATCGGAGTTCCATTCTAAAGGTTCCCCTATCTATCTTTGTGTGTCCAATGTGCTCTACATAGAGTCCTGTAGGAGGATAATGTATCTCGTAGTTCTGGACTAAAGTATTTCTTGAGGCGAACATAAATATCTGTGCCGTAGCAGTCTGAAAGATATGACTGAATTATATGCAGTGTGTTGCCTCTAATGCCGTAGTAGCCCAGCTTGTTGAGTAGTATCTGATGTGACACGCAGTCGAATGCTTTCGAGAGGTCCCAGAAGATGGCCATAGCGACTCTGCCCCCTCGAAGCATCCAACTATATGCTCTTCCAGGGCTCTAATTGCATCTGTTGTAGATTTTTTCTTACGAAAACCAAACTGGTGGCTGGACAGCAGCTTACTCTTTTCTAAAAATATGGTTAGACGATTGTTTAGGCTGATCTCAATTGGTTTTGACAAAGCCGGTACCACAGAAATGGGTCTATGGTTTCCGTGGTCATTTTCATCCCCTTTTTTGAAAATAGGTACCACCCTACTGGTTTTCAACTTACTTGGGAATTTCCCACCCTCAAAGCATCTGTTTTTAATTATGGAAAGGGAAAGGGCAAGTCCTTCCGCGAGTTGTTTCCAGGATTTTGTTGCTTAGACCAAAGACATCCTTTGCTTTATTGTCGCTCATGCAACTCAGGATACTTACTACCTCTGTAGGTGTTACAGGAGCTAAAAAAACTGTATAGTTATTGTGAATAAATGTAGAGGTTAATTCTGAAGGGTCAGCACCAGGAAATAGAACACAAAGATATCCAAAAAGATTCCCAAGAAAGTGTTAAAAGTATTGTCTGCATCTAGTTGGTATAAGAGTGAAGCCCAATCAGTATTTTTTAGAGCATCAATACAAAAAACTATATTTTCAGGGCAAAAGGGTCTGAATTTAATAATTTTGGTGTGATTGTTGAGAATATTTTTTGTTTTATGTTTATAGGTATTAATGATTGCCATGTGATCTGACAAGTAAGAATCCCATAGTGACCAAAGGGGTTTAATTTCTGTGTTAGTGATACAGTTATCTAAGCAACTGCTTTTTGTTGTTTTCGATATTCTAGTTGGTTTGTCAATTAGTGTTTTTAGACCATAAGAGTTTAACAGTTGCACATACTCTAGTGAAGCCTGATCAACTGAGAGCAAGTCCAGATTAAAATCTCCATAGGTAAATAGTGTTGTCTTTTTTTGAGTAAGAAATTCTAGAATTTTTCTAAGCAGTTCAAAAAATATGTCTAATTGGCAACTTGGTGATCTATAAATGCAAACAATAATAATATGTGGATTTACAATTTCAATTGCTGCGATTTCGCAGTGTTTTTCAATTGAAATATCATTGATAGAAGTAATTTCTTTACATGTATATTTACTTTTTAAATAAATTAAGGTTCCTCCTCCTCCTGACAGGGATCGGCAGAAGTGGCTGGCTAGATTGTAACTTGTAACCCGGTGGTTTGTAGCTTTCTATTGCCGTTTCGGGCAGCCAATGTTCTTAAAGCAGGACAGCATCGAGGTGTTTACCTTTAAGTTGAAGTTCCAACTCATCAAGCTTTTTTGACAAGCTGCGTATGTTCAAAAACATTGCATGGAATTCTTCTTGTGCATGGACCTTGGATTGTCCTTGCCTTCTTGGTTCTTTTTTTGATGTTTCTGGTTCGTTGCTGTTATGGTTTTTCAAAAATGTTGATTATTCTGAGGGTTGTATTTAGATTGATGTCTGAAATCGTACCTCTTAATACCCACATCTTTAGGCCAGAAGTTTGGCTTATATATTTCTTCTTTTTTAGCAAATGGTGCTGTTACAAGGAAGCATTTATTTTTAGTTTCATCGGTGGGAAGTTCAGATACCTGGATGTTCGTTGTATCAAATCCAGTTTTTTTTTAGGATGTAGTCCTGTATTAGCGTAGGTGCGACCTTCCTTTGCACTCGGTAAAAATAGATCCATACTCTTTTCTCAACCCCCATAAATCCATTTGAGGCTTCAGAGGTGCCTAGGGTTTTTGGGATTGAGCTGCTGTTTTGTCCCCTGCTACGCCTGTTTCTCCGATTTTGAGTTTGCCAGTCCAACTCGGTAGTACCAGCGGTATTTGAGGAGCCTGCCAGCTCTAGTGCCGTTTGTACAGCGGCAGAGGTTATCACTTGCGGTTGCGAAGTCCTGTTGATAACTTGGGGTTTGTTATTGTTATTATTTGTATTTGTGTTATTGTTTCGGATTGAGGTTATGTTGTCGGTGATACCGTCAGCCTTCAATTTTTGGGGATGGATGGGTTCGTTGGTTCTTGGCTGTAGGCGGCTGTCACTCGGAACCGCTTTGTTTATCTTCGCGTTTTTCTGTTCTCGAGTGCAGCTCGTTTCATGATTTTCTATTGTTTTTCTCAAGAAAACAAATTTTCTCTCTGAGGAGTACACAGTTTTCTGCAAGTAGCTTGTTTTTGTCTTCTAGCTCCTGGATGATTCTATATAGAAGGGCCTCACGGCTGTTACTACTGATTTCGGGTGCCACAGCTTCGTCCTGAGTTACGAATTCCTCATGACGATATGCCGAGTTCTTATTTTCTTGAGCACGCTTAGAGCATGAAGGGTGGAACACTTCTTTACACTTTCCGTACTCGACTACATTATTGACGATACTTTTTGAGCAATAAAGGCAGTTGTCTGCGTTAGAATTACTTATGAGCGAACTTGAGACGCGACCGACCCATCCGCCATCTTGATCTACTCTGAATGATCACACCCAAATCAACCGGTGTAAGCAGCTCCAAGGCAAGAAAACCGAGAAATTCAAGAAGATTTCGGACCTATACCTACAACTCGGAATCCAATTGGTCCATAAACCTTACAAGCCCGCATACAAGGCACTTTGAGAAGCAACACGAGTAGATACTGCTACAGCTACAACCGAATGAAGCTACAAGAAATCATCCACCCACACCAGCATCGCCACAAGTCATGCATACTGTCATTATCCAACAACCAAGGTCAAATAACATTGGCTGTCTCAAGTGAAACTGTCAATGTTCGATAGGCTTTCAGGGACATTTTCACGAAAATTGTTCATGAGAATAGTGAACTCACCGACATCGAAAAAATGAAATATCTGAAGATCCACGTACGAGGTGGAGCCAGTAGAGTCATTCAACATCTACAGATAAACAGTGACAACTACATTGCAAGCTGGAACATTTTCGAGAGAAGATACTACAACGAGATACTAATCATCAATAAGCTGATTGATAAGATTTTGGAAACACCATCAATCACTTACGAATCAGCGTAGGTACAAGCTGAAGCAACTGCATGATTAAATGATAGAATGTGTAGAAGCGTTCAACAACATGAAGGTAGACACCAAATCATGGGGACCACTAATCTCAAGACTAATTGCCGCAAATGGGACTCCGAGACCAATCGATTATTCGAGCAATCCTTGCGAGAGCCAAACAAAATGCATCAGCTAGACGACGTACTCAAGTTTCTGCAAACAAGATTTCACTCCCTTGAAGCCTGCGTACAAGGTAAAAAAAAGTCCAGCGAGCAAACCCACAGCACAACTGAAAGCTGCGGATACTGCAACTACCCTAACCACAACATTTACAACTGTCAGAAGTTTCAAGCATTAACTCCATCTGCAAGATTTAAAGTCATCAAGAAGAAGAAGATCTTCCTGAGGCACCCAGCTCACATAAGATGTAATTCAACCGTACAATAATAGTACATGTAGACTTTAACGAACAGGGAAACCAGAACGGAGCAACCAAACAACAGACACGTCCAACCAAATCAGCAACCCCGTACAGACACAAAGAATTAGTCCTGTTGGCAACCGCAGTCATCAAAGTCCACAATAACCAAGGAATAGTTGGAAATTTACGTGTGTTAAAAGATCCAGGCTCTCAATCCACATTCATAACTGAAAAAGCTGCTTCATTACTATCCATACCACATCAGCGCATAAGTGGCTAAATGGATGGTGGAAATAAACGTCAAGCCAAGATTCCCGAGCAGTTTCTCAATGGAAATTCCATGTATTGTTCTACCCAAACTGACAAGTGAAAAAATTGCCGGCAGCAGTTATCGAAATTCTGGGAACTAGAATAAGTAGCCCAACGCAGGCCAACCACTGAAGAAGAGAAATTCTGCGAAAACCATTATCATTTCAACACGAGCAGAAACAGCGACGGTATATACATACATACACAATTAAGATTGCATTTAACGATAAACTACAATAACTAGGGATCTCAAGATCCCAAATGTTGATAAAGAAAGTATTAATCATCTGTCAAAAGATGAATGTGGAATCCTATCAAAAATCATCAGGAAAAAAAGCCTGAATTTGAAGCAAATTCTTTCTCCCGCTATTTCTAAGAAATATAATTATTTGCTCCAACGAGAATGTCGCAATTTCCTTGATCATCGGAGTCAACGAATATCGTAAAAATATTAGGTCACATGCATCATGCATCAAAGGATGTCATAAATAATTTAATTCTCCTGTAATTTTTTCCTTTTTCTTCAAATTCTTTCTTCTTCCTTCTCCATTGCAGTTTCTTAGATAAAATGAAGACTTGTCTATGATCCCCTGTCCTAAAACTGTGGGACATTCGAAATGAAAATGTCCCTCACCTGGAAACCTTGCACAACTCTTCCAAGATTCTTTATAAAGCACCGACAACATTAAGATGGTCGATTTGCTATATTATAAATCGCAAACTTCAGCAAAACTCAATTACTCCGAAGTACAAAAACCTGACAAACTTTTTTAGTGTATAACTTTTATATGAAACACCTAAACAACAAAATGTTTATGTCGTTTTAAACTGCCTCGTCATGCTTAAGCGGCCTAAGCATAAAAAAAAGCTTAATTGAAAATCGACCGCGGCTATTGGCAGTAAATCTGCCACATAAAAAATTTAGAGGGATTTATCCTCGGAAAATGGACATTTGATGTGGTATAAATTAATTTTCTCTGATCCTTTAAATTAAATTTCAATTAAAATCTATATATATATTAACTTTATTTCAGGTTCCATTATGTTCCAACCTCTTACCAATCGTCATCCTGCTCATCATCAACATAGGCCTACTGATTTTGTGCAAAAAAGGCCCGCCGAAAGGCCGGATACTGTGGCTGGCCTTGCCTCATTTGTGCTGGCACGTCGCCGTCCTCCAAATACTGATTTCTTTGTACCTCAAACAGTACCAGGTTAGCCTCAGGGATAACCTGGGCTGGGTACTGCTGTTCGACTATTTGATCTACGTCACACTTCCGTTGAGGCTCAGATATTGCGTACTGCTAAGTGTTTTGACGTGCGTGTCGTACATTGTTGCATTGGTGGCCTTTGTTAGGACTGAAGAAAATGTCGTTCAACAGGTAAGAATTGGATTTGATTTGAAATTAGCGTCCTAGAAGTTTTTAAAAATTTAGTACATTAAATTTATTCAAAATAATTTATAAATGTTTGACCAGTTAATGACTTGACACCTGATACTTTCCCGCAAGGAAATTCATCTTATATCCCAACCCTCAACTTCTATTAAAGCGGCTTAATATGGACTTAAAATTTGTTGAGCGAATTAATAAAGGTGAGCCTCAGCTCCGAGTATTATAGGACAAACTAAAATAAAAGCTTTGCTATCGTAGACTTTGAAATTATGAATCGAAGTTGGCATTAATAATTTAGCATCGAAAGCCAGACGCATTTACGAACAGTTCAATATTGATTTCGAGGCGTCGTATTTACACGAAAATCTTGCCTCCCAGGGCGCAAAACCTTGGAAAAGCCAAGAATTCGGCATTTGCAATTTAAATTTTACGGCTTGCCAAGCGACTTAATCGACTGACTCCCTCTTATTATTCTTCTAGTATTAAGCAAATTTAAAACTAAATTAACTTTGATTGTATAGAGAGTAAGTACACTATGGAGTTAATTTATACGACTAATTGAGGAAAAAAAATATATAATGAAGTGATTTTGTTCAGATTTTTCTTGACAATAATATCGGATATTTAATTTTGTTATATCCTGCCCATTGGCACACTTCATTAAGTGCTGTTTTATCTAAGAAAGAAGTGGAACATGATACTTATTGCTGGCAAATATTGTGTAGATGGAAGAAATTATAGACAATTTCCTAAAAAATCAGCGATTTTCTGGATTATGGAAATGTGTCTTAAAAGCCAAAGGACAAGTAAACTCAAATCAAAGCAGAAACGGAAATATTTTTCTGTAATGAAGATCCTACTACATGATTTGCTCTTCAAGTATATCAGACACATTCAAGAATAACATTTTTGCTGAGGGTTTTGAAAATGTTTGCCTTTAACACAATAAAAATCCAAAGTTATTGCCCACGATATGGAACTATAAACGTAATAAAAGCGAAACTAAAATGCTGAAAGCGTATCCCGTGGAAGCTTATTCATGGAAATTGAGAATGCAGAAGTTTTCTTTTTCAAATAAATGCAATGCACATTCGCATATGCTAGAACGTGCATTTTCGTAAAAATATTCTCTCTTGTTATAAGCTTAGATATTCTTTTTTAAAAATTTAATAGGATAGTCAGATTCGGATTTACATAAACACTGAGTTTGATGGGATTTTTCTTGTTAATTTCACCAGATCATTGAATTCCTTTTTGCCTTCTCGTGTCGAAACTTGGCAAGCTGATGTCATGAGGTTTTCCTCCTAAATTATCTACCGTTCGCAATTTGCGCTGAATTTATTACCGTAAATATTTCGGTTGGATTTAGTTGACTTTGTGGACTGATTTATGTGTAACGAAGAGGTGAATTCAGTTTCACCTACCGAATTTATAAAGCGGATTGAATTATTAAACTGTAGTCCAAAAAATGTCTAGAGCAGACCTTTATACTGTAATAAATTTAAAATATAGCCATTCATTTATGTACATTGTAACCGGAAACTTAATAAAAAGGAGAAGTTATATCCAGTGGAATAGGAACTTGCATCTTGTTCATAAATTGAAATGTTTTGTATTTAATGGATTAGCAAAATATTCAAGTTTTGGAAAATAATTGCCTTTATTATCAATTTGAAATTATTGTTGAAAAGGAAAACTATAGAGAAGAATCAGCAATCAAACCTTTTATTGAGAAATACCGTGCGATATCATCATCAACCAGATATCTTTACCCACTTATCACATATTTCTTCAAAAGATATTAATTTCAATAATGTTATTTTCTTCGATCAAAGACTCTCTCTCTATACTAATGACGTAACGAACCTCATATTATAAGAAAAAATAAAGTGCTTTGTTAGGATTTCAATAGACCAGGAAGCCAGTAAAGTGCCCCTTTCTTATTCCTCCATTCTTATATTTTTTCCATTCAATATGACCAGATTTAATCTTCAAATCAAAAATTCTTCGTCGTTATCCTTTATCGTGCAACAACCTTTACAGGATAATGCAGTATTCACTATCGATCGATCGATATACACGTCTTTTAAATAAAAATTCTATATATATAAAATATCGTCCATGTTCATCAAAAACAAGTTTCCGATGAAAGAAATTGTTTCAAAGTCATAACAATGGCTTGAATTCTTGTTGGATACGATGAAGGGCCTTTGGAGATTAAAAATTTCAGAACTAGTTTGAGAAATCCAGAAAATCCTATTTTGTTTTGAATTGAGTAAAAGTTTTATTTCCAACTTTAAATCGAAAAGAACAAGACTGTTGTTTTTGATAAGAGAAGTTTGATATTTCTTCTACTTGAAAAACAAGTATCGTTATCCTTAATCGAGCCGAAAATCACGTGGGCGGACCATAAACTCTGGAAGATATACGGGAATTTCTTCCTGTAGGCGTATATAGCGCCCGGCTGAAAATGCGATATCGCGCCGGGAATGTCTAATTCTCTTATTGGAAAACTATTCGAGCGGAAAACTTGTAATAAAATGGAAAATCTTGTTGTGGTGCGGTTCGAAATTGGAAAGAGGAGAGTTTAATTTGCTTTTGGATACTGAAAATAATAAGATTTTCTTCAATCTCACAGTTTCTTGAAACAGTAATTTACCTATGCATTATATAAATTTTATATATAAAAGTAAAATATAAATGGAAAGTAAGGCCAACTGGGCAAACGCATTTTAGATTTAACGATCCAAAGGTTTCTATTATCCCAAAAACATATAAATGGAAACTAAACTTTCCCAAATCCTACGTGTATTTAGGTGACTATGATAAGAAGAATGAGAAAAGACACACAAAATTGTGAAATTCTGCACTTACCTGTGCAGTTCCCAAGTAACTATTTCGGCTTTCCACAAAAAGACGCCACCATCCAAAAGTCTTTTTTTTTTCCTTGTTCCAGGCCTGTCCGACTTATTGTCTCCATGCAGCACTGAAGCCTGAGAGGGATTATTGTACTTAGCTTGTGTGGTTTATTCCAACCATCCTTGAACGAGGTTGTACAGATTTTTCACTGGATGGTGTTTCATTATTGTTTCCGGGTCTACGTTTGGTTGCCCGAAAATACTATGTCTTCTGCGATCCAATGCAGTTCACCAGGATGTGTCTGGCTGTCTCGGATTTCTTTTTGCAGAGTCTGCAATTAACGTCTCCGTCGTACAGGTTCATCCTGTTCAAGTGGACCTACTGGTGTGTGGCCAGTCAAGAGTCCCGTTATGGTTCTCAGTAGGCTCCTGCTCATTTGTAGCAGTTCTGCGGCACTTTTGCTGCATGGAAGTGTCCAGTGTCGCCGATGTTCCTTACGAATCCAGTCTTTGATTTGGCTTCTGGTCACACTTTTTGGTATCCCTAGAGCCGGTTCTAGCACGATAAGTTGTTTTTCTCTGACCCTCCCTTTGCGAATTCATCAGCTTTTTCATTGCCTTTGATTCCTCTGTGTCCTGGCACCCAGATGAATTTTTCCTTATTCTGGTCCGCCAAGGCATACTAGTCTTGATGACACTGTCTGGCTCGAAAAGGGCTTCAGTGCTGCTTGACTATCAGACATTATAAGGGATCTGCCTGTTGGTTGTGGCTCTCCTGTTGTTCTCCGCTGCGCATTGGAGTATAGCGTATACCTCTGCTTGAAAAACAGGGGCGTGTCTTCCCAGTGCGTAGTGATCGCCATAGTTGGCGGAATATACCCCTGCTCCGGTGCCAGACGCGGTCTTCGACCCGTCTGTGTACCAGGTCTGGTCTTGTTTCTTGGTCTCCGGTATGCCATGTTTCCATTCAGTTCTGCTTGGGAAGCTCACCTCGAATGGTCTTTTCAGGCAGTATCGTCTTGACATATAGTCGCTTCTCATGTTGAAAATCTCTCCCCCCACCAGTTTTACGATTGCCATGTGTCCCGTCCTTTTGTTGGAGGCGGTTGTCGGCTGCAGTACGCTCTCATCCTTGCCCCCCCCTGTATCACTATGTGTAAAGGTGGGAGGGTCGCCATGGCTGCTGTTAAAGTGAATCGCATTGGCTCCGTTATTCCTGAGCAGGCCAGTCTTTGCACTTTGCGTATGTCAAGATAGGTTTGACCATCATTTTGTATGCCCAATAGAGCATGTCCGGTTTCAAGCCCCATAATTTTCCATGCAAGCGTCTGGCTATCATGAGTGATGTTACCGTTTTTTTGGTGGTGTATTCCAGATGTTGATTCCAGGTAAGTTTTAAGTCTAGTGTTACCCCCAAGTACTTGACTTCGCTCGAAATCTGTATATTTTCACCCCTCAATCTAAAAGGTCCCAGTCTTGTATTTTATGTCTTCGGGTAAATGCCATGATGGTGGATTTGTTGGGACTAATGTTTAGCCCTTCTCTATCCACCCATCTTGTTGTTCGGTCTGAAGCGTCTTGCATTCGCTCCCTAACTGTAGAGTTGAATTTGCCATGTGAGATGATGACTATGTCGTCAACATAGCCGAAGGCACCGTATCTTCCGTCAGTGAACACCTTAAGCAGGCCGTCCGCCACTAGATTCCACAGGAGTGGGGATAATACCCCGCCGTGTGGGCATCCCTTGTACACCCTGGCCACCAGTGTCTCCTCTGCGATAGTGGTTTCTACTATTTTTTCTCTTAGTATGGAGTTGATCCACACACAGCAATTGTCCTCATTTTCTTTATGCTTGAGAGATCTGGTTATTGAATCGGAGGAAGTATTGTCAAAAGCTCCCTCTATATCCAAGAAGGAACCCAGCATCACCTCTTTGTTAGCCAGTGTGGTCTCCACTATGCTGACCAGCTGGTGAAGCGCTCTATCTGTTGACATCCCTGTCCGATACGCATATTGGTCTGGGTGTAGTGGTCTGTTTGCCAAAACACTGTCCCTAATGTGCCTATCCACAAGTTTTTCCAGTGTCTTATATACATATAAGACTAATGGGTCTTAGGGACTTCGCCGTGT